GGATTCTAGTGACTGACCTGCCACCTGGAAATAAAGTTGAGTATCATCCTTTCACCCCAAGAATGTTTTGCTGTCAATTTCTTTGGTCACCTTGAATCTATAGCAAACTTGCTGGGAGCTGAAACCCATTGGCAAGACAGACCTATACTTAAAAAAAACCAAAAACCTAATATACAATAAAATACACAGATCTTAGGTTTTCTGTCAATGGGTTTTTAACTGAATACACCCATATACCCACCATGCAAATCAAGACACAGAGCATTCCCATCACTACTCAGTCTCCTTGTGTCTCTTTTCCTTCCTCCATTATTTCATTGTCTGTGCTTATATTTAATACCCATTGAATCATAATATATTTCCTAACTTTTCATTTAATGCTTTTGAGATTTGCTTATTTTATTGCATGCATTATTTCATTTCTAATGCTGAGTAATTTTCCATTGTATGAATATACTTGTTAGCCATTCTATTTAGTTTTGGGCTATTACTAATAAGGCTTCTATCAAAACTCTTGTACAAGCATTTTTTGTGTGTGTGTGCAAACATTTATTTTTCTTGGGTAAATGCTTATGAGTGGAATTGCTGAGTTGTATGGTAAGTGTCTAACTTTACTAACAGATCTGAGGAACAATTCTCCAAAGTGATGGTTGCATTTTAGACTTGCATCAGCAATGCATTTGGAGAATGCCAACAGCTTCCTGCAGCATTCACTGACATTCATCTTTCTCACTCATTCTAGTGTGAAATGGTGTATCACTGTGATTTTAACTCCTACGTCCCAGAGAACTTAAGATGTTGAATATTTCTGAATGAATTTTAAATTTTTATAAAGTCTAAATGGTCATTTTTTTCTTTTTCATTCTTTGCTGGTGTTTTCTGTCCTACCCAAGAGATCTTTACCTGCTTCAAGGTCAAAGGTATTGTGTCTTGTTTCTGGTCCATCATCGTTTTTTTTTTTTGGTGTGTTTGTATAGAAAATAGGGCCAAGGCTCATTTTATTTCCATACAGATATTCAGTGCTGCCAATATTATATACTTTCCTTTTCCCACTGAGTTAACTTGGCACTTTGTCAAAAAATTATGTATGTTGTAGGTCTATTTCTAGGCTGATTCTGTTTCATTGATGTATTAATCTGTTTTGTAATACCAGTCTTGATTACTTAAGCTTTATAGTAAATCTTGGCATCAGAGCAGGACTTCCAACTTATTTGTTTAAGGTTGGTTTGGTTATTTTAGGGTCTTTGTACTTCCACATAAAATTTAATTTTAATATATTAGTGTTTTTTCTTCTTAAGCTTGATGTAATTTTGATAGGGATTGTGTAACTATAATTTAGTTTAGGAAGAATAGATGCTTTAACCAAAAATAGTTTTCCAATTCATGAACATGCTCTCTCCCCTTCTGTTTGAGCTTTGAAAAAGTTTTCTCAGCAGTTTTGCACTCCAGTGCAGAGGTCTTACACATATTTCCTCCTAGCTATTTGATGTGTTTTGCTGCTAATGGAATACTAAAAAATTTTTAAATTTAAGTTTCTGATCAGATCACTAGCATGTCTCTGGGCTTTGCTTTTTGCTAAGATCTTGTTAAATTAAATTCACTTACTAGTTCTGGTTGATTTAATCTTTTTCTTTTTTTGCAGTATATAGTGTTTTCTTTGTAAACAGTGTCATTTGTGAATAATGACTATCTTAACTCTTGTGTTTCATTCCATCTTTATGCCTTTTACTTGACTGGCTGTTTGGCTAGGACCTACAGAACAATGTTGAACAGAAATAGAGTAGACTTCCTTACTTTTTTTTAGTATTTCACCATTAAATTTAAGTGTAGATGCTTTACAGATTATCAGACTGAGGAATTTATATCCTAGATTTTGTATTCAAAGAGGGTATTGAATTTAGTCCAATCCCTTTTCTATAATCACTGAGATGATTATATGGTTTTCCTCTTTTATTCTGTTAGTAGGTGAATTACACTGATGGACTTTTGTAATGTTAAACCAAACTTGTCTTCCTGGAATAAACCCTATTTGGTCATAATGTATTATTCTTTTTATACACTGCTGGGTTCAGTTTGCTAATATTTTAAGGACTTTTATTTCTGTGTTCCTGAGGGACACTGGTCTGTTATTTCCTTGTAATATATTTTTCAGGTTTTGTATTATATGGTATTTTTCAGGAGTCATCTATATAAATGTCATTTTGTCACAGGCCTAAGAAATGTTAAACATTAATTGTTTTGAGGTGGTTTTCATAGCAATTTTTGGGTTCCTAACAGTCTTCAGTGAAAGTGTTAAAAAAAAAAAAGTCCTCTCTGATTCTGTAAAAACTTAATTGTTTATGTGAACAAAAAACTGAAAAAATTCAGGAAAATAATGGAAATGTGAGGTGAGTTGCTAACTCAGAAGTTTTGTGCTTGTGTTCCTCCCCTTCAATCCACCCATTTCACAGTAACAGGACAAAAAGGGGAAAAAGAAAAAAATTTGTACTGAGGATTAGGCAGCTTCACAGATATTTTTGGAATATACTCAATTGTAGTATATGATGGATAAAATTCTTGAGTTTCAAATGCTAAGCATAATGAAGTTTAAACTGTTAGTATTTAAATCAATTTGTAGCTTTGCAGTCTAGTATTGTCTATTTTATGAAAAGCAGGAGAAATTTCTCTCCCCAAGTTAAAAATGTAAAAGAACACATTCAATACATCTTTAAATATGCAAAAGTCAGAGGAAATTTCCAAACGTAGACTTTAATAGTACAAAAATTTACAAGCTTCATATATAATAAAGTATCAGCCATTTGTGTAAAAACAGATGTGTGTGTGTGTGTATGTGTATGTACACACACCTATCCTTTCAGATCTTTTATTTACAAAAATAACAAAACAAAACAGCAATTACCTCTGAGAACAACTGTAAGAATGCTAAATGCTTTTCAGCAATGGATGGCTTCTAGATGAGATTCTATTCCTACATAAACTTTTAAAAACTATTTAGTGAATCATAGGTCTTCACTGCAGTGGAAATCACACACCAATGTGTTAAAACATATATCCCTTCAAAACTAGGGGGGATAATGTCAGAGGCCAGCCAATGTTCATATCCTACAATATTTTTTCCTGTTTTTTTGTGGGCAGCAATTTGCAGAGTACATAATTAGGGCTGCTCTTGCGTTATTTAACAAACAGACTTAAGAAAAATTATTAGTAAACTCTCACTCTGAAAAATGTTCTCAATTTCTTTTTGATTCAGTTACCTTGTCTCAGGCTTTCTTAATTACCCAAATATTTTATCAGAAGGTGAATCACATGTTCTGAATATTTAAAAAATCTGTTTCCCGTCTAAGCTTACTATTGACAACAAAAACCCTAATAAAATAGTAAGGACCTGCAAGTACTGACTTAGTACACCAAAAATGTCATACACAGAATTAAGAGAAATGGCAATGAGGGGAACTAACAAGAGGACAGGCGAAACATCAATATCTGTTAAAGCTCTTAAAAATCCATAATAGAGGAATGGATACTTCAAAAATAATTATAAATGGCCAAAAAAGCAAGTATTCATTCTCTAATAGCTAAAACAATTAAAATAAGATTCTTTCCATTTTTAAATTTATAATGAGAACAAAAAAATATTTATTGCTGGTGGGGATATGTTGGCATCTTACACTAGCGCTGGTACAAGGTCTGGTGCATTGGGTACAGGTTTCTGGAGGACAATTTGACATTAGGACATTTTAAGGTTTTGGTACCTACTCAGTTAATACTTAACAAATAATTCATTCCAATTACGATTTCTATTTTAACTTATTTGTAAACAGAGACAGTTACAATGACAAGACAATTACAATGACAAGAACTAAAAGATGTTTTTATGGTTCCGGAGAGAAGACTCACCAAAGTCAAAACGGCTATAAGCATGGTTTCTTCAAGTTCACAGAAATGGAAAAGGTCAAAAGAATCAAAGGGAAATATGTTAAACTCTTACTGCCCATGTGCTTAATTCCTACAACCACGACAGAATCAGGAGGGGCAGCCCTCTCATGATATGAGATGGTAAAAGCTCACAGAGGGAATGGAAGGACAGAGTTTATTTTTCTGCAAATCCTCCTCTCCATTACTGGGAATAAAGGAAAGATACCCACTTCTCCCCACCCCCAAGCAAAGGAGCTGAGTGTGACTGTATTAAAGTCTCATTTTAGTATTTTCCTATAAAGTTTATTCAAACTTCTTTAATTACTGATTTAAGATGGTCTAGGTGGTGTTCTTCAATGAAGGATTCTGCTTGTTTCAAAGCTTTTATTTTCACCATAATAATAATAATTTCTTTGACTTCATCCCTAAAAATCAAAACAAAACAAAAAAAGCATTTCCCCCTAAAAAATATTTAAGAGCACAGTGAATTATCAAGTTGTTGATTTGAAAAACTTTACCTTAAGCCAGTATCTAAAATAGCATAAATTATTCAGATGATACCTTTTCCACATAAGTATGAAGTCCAAATACAGACTATATTCTGGCAAATTTTAATGTGAAAGACTGTAAAAAGTAAAAAGCACAGAGCAAATCCACCATCAGAAATCTAAGAATCTGAGTTGTATGCTACTACCGGCTTGTCTGAGTTATTCTGATGTGAGTCTTTGTGGGAGTATTTAGCTCACAGATATCACATGCTACAAATATGGGCTATTTACTTATTTTTTTGAGAAGTGTTTTACCAGAACACTACTATACTTTTAGCCTCTAAACATCTGTGAATGAAACATTAAAATGGCCAGGAAAATGAAAAGCACATTCAAAACATGCTTAATGAGAAACTTTTGATTTACAGTTTTAACTCTAAATTCCCATTTTCTGGAAGTGCTTATTTTAGAAGAGATTACACTTAAAAATATGAACTATTACGCATGTGAGTATAAAATAGTGATTCTAAGGTTGCACATTAAAATATCTTAACTATACTAGTGTCAACATTTAAAAGTTAGAAAGTATAAATCTTTCTAAAAACCACTAAGATGTAACAGAATCTTTCAATCATGCATATAGATGTACAAATAAAATATGCAAAAATTACCTGAATTCACTTCTAGATAACTTGTGTGCAGATTGCAATAAAAACTGGATGAAGTTTTCTAGCTGGGGAACAGGTGTTCTTATGGCAGAATTTTTGAACCATTTTTCTGGTAAATAGGCTGTTATCTGTTAATCAAAACACATGGTTTTTAATAATGACAGTTATTTAAGGACTTTTGCGAACATAATCTCATTTAATTATCAGTGATCATGTGGGTTGAATATGTGCCACTTTTATAGTTCATTAAATAGAGAATTTTTCTTTGTCAAGGGTTATATACATTTTTAAAAGTCATTATTTTAATGCCAAGAGCTTAAGTTAGACTTTTATGAATACTCTCTAGTGGTGCTTATACTTCCTGTATTCTCTATTCCTGAGTCATTTTATCTGTACAGAACATCATTTATAACTAAACACCACAAATGCATAGACACAAAACACTTTAGTCAACACAATTATAAAATACATATATTTAATAGTACTTCACAGTAAGAAACTGGTGACCTAGTGTACCATCTACATAAATTAGAGTTAAGGAATCAGGTGATTCTAAGATCCAAAACATGAAAAAAATTAACTACTGTTTTAATCTTCTAATTTAATACATTGTTTTAAAAATCCATAGCAGCATAAAGGGTCAATGTATGTGCATTTAATTTTTCTTTTGGGGGGTACTGGGAATCACTTATCATGCTAAAGGTAATACATGATTTAGGGGAAAGTTTTGGCAAAAAAAAGTTAACCAAAGATAACATTTTCATAGCAGAAGGAAGAATAAAAAGCAGCTAGAATGGGAGGAAGGAAAAATTTGAAATCATACTATTCAAAGAAATTCTTGGACAAATAGGTTATGCTACAGTTCTAAGATCACTACTTACAGAAAGTAGACGGTTGGGAGAAAATGCACTATATGTACTGTAAAATGTGTTAAAGTTCTGGAATGCAATCTTACTAAAATCTGAGTGCAATGAAAACACATTAGAAGAAAAAGATTTATTCTATTCCTTAATCACCTTTTTTCAATTATCCAGAAAAAAAAGACACACTGATTGCCTAAGGCAGAAAGTCCTATACGTTTTGTTATGCAAACTATATGTCATCTGCACTTGTTTTCCCCTTGTCAAGGGTCTCAATAAAATTCTTAGAGACCCAGCTTTTTTGATCCCAGACTTAAAGCCATGTTTTCTTGGCTTGGTTTTCCAGACGGAAGCAATGAAAAGAATCTCTCTACTTGTGCAGTAACACCCTTATGGTCAGAGGGGACTAACCTGACCCTGAAACACAGAGCATGGATGACGATTTAAATTTTTGATAGTACTGTAGCTTAAAACTACATGGTACAAAAACCACAGCCAGAAAATCATGGTTGGCAACTGCTATCTAATATTCTACATGTTGTTTTATTTTTTCAAAAAATGAATTCTTAAGAATGAGAAAACGTATATACAACAGGACATCTTATGGACAGACAATGTTTTTAAACATTCAGGTCATTTCCAACTATCTTCTATTATAAATAATGCTACAGTATTCTTTGTACTTAAAATATATATGTGCATCTCTGATTTTTAACTTAGTAATTATACTTCTAAGAATTTATCCTTGGTCAAAGGTATGAACTATAGAAGTTTTGTACACATCTTGCCAAAAGAGTCCCCATAATTGTATCCCTCCTTCCACCTGTGCCCCACACAACTAGTACACAACACATTCTATGTAAATGGTGACCCTTGGAATGATGTGGGGCTGATTCCCTGCACTTATGATGAAACTAGGAATTACAATGAAAATAATAGTAAAATAATTTGCTAACACAAACAGGTAAAATCATATCCTTACTGTATTGTTTACATTTCTGTGGTAATTAGGACTGTTAATATTCTTCTTTCACTAGAAATTATGTATGTTTATTTTTAAATTGTGAGTCTTTAAAGGGAAAGAGTATCCTTACTCAACTTGTACCCCCAGTATTTAGTTCACTACTTGACAGAGAGCTGGTAATAATGTTTGCTAAACGTGAAACAAATTGAGGGTGGTGAAAGTTCAGAAAGTAAAGCCTGAGTCTCATTCTATTTAAGAACACTACTGTCAATCTTTTCCACATGTTTAGAGGTTATGTTTGCATATTCCATTTTGGTGAATTGCCTGTTGCATGTCTTTTAGACATTTTTAATCAGAAGATTTAAACTGTTAATGACTTTTAAAGAGCTTCTAAAAAATGTAGATATTAATCTTCATTATATGTTAGAACCTTCTATTTCTCAGTTTTTCAACTCCTTTTTAACTTATTACAGAAAATTTCAAACATCAGCAGCAGGTGAAAGAATAATGAGCTCAATGAACCCATCCTCCAGTTTTAACAATGATCAAATAACTTGGTATCTTTTTGGTTAGTAATGTATTTTGATCCATTGAAGTTTTATATTTTTGTTAAATCTATACCTTTTCTCATCATTTCTTCTATTGCTTTTAAGTTCAGAAAGGACTCCCTCATCATCAGATTGTCATTTATCTTCTCAGTACAGTATTTCAGTTTCATTTTTCACACTTAATTCTTTACTTCACCTGAATTTATATTGGTATTTAGTGAGAAGTGAAGATCTAACATCCTTTTAAAAATAATCAGTTGGCCCAGCACCATTTATTAAGTAATTTTTGCTTTCTCTACTGCTATGTCAAACCAGTATACTAATTCTTAAATACTGAGGGAGGAGCTGCTTCTGGATTTCTAGTCTGTTAACTGCTTTGTTACAATGTGAGTACAATTTTAATTATTTTGCTACAAAATAGATTTTAATGACTGAATTTTAAAAAATAATAAAATTAGAATCAGCTCTTTCATACTTACCTGGCTGCACTTTTTGACAACATCTGGCCCAGGTGTGGCATTAAGAAGAACTATAATAAGGTAACGATTTAGCAGCTTCACTAGTCCTAGCTCTTGCAAGGTGTCATCTGGGAGGAGTTCATTCCAAAGAAGAATGTTGCCAAAGAGCTAAAGTGAAATAAAATATCAAGTTAGTATTATAGCTTTTCTTTGGAGAAAGGGTATACAGTCTCCAACAAACAAAAAGTTGGTCAAACTCTTTTAAACACTATTAACACTGCTGAAACTATCCAGATTGTCAGGCATTTATTGATTCTAAAATGAGTAAAACCTAATTCTTTCCAACCTCTGCATAGTTGCTCATCCTATTTTTTGGACAACCACACTAAATCCATGTCATCAAACTTTGCTGGAACCACTCCCCATCAATAATTTCCTCAGTCCACACTCTCTCAGAGCCTGGGGCCATTGGGTATAAGACTGCAGGACCCCAGGACTCATAAAGGACTGCTGTTAAAGCCAGTGCCACTGTCACCAATGTATGACACTGAGAAACCAAACCTGAGAGCCTCACTGCTCTGACATATAAAATAAAATTAACCCCCTGTGAGTTTGGAGATAACTTGGGTAAAATTATCTTAAGAAATTCAAATAAAATTAGTATTGATTGCCTTTTCCCACACTAAATTCAGATCTTTCTGTGAAATTTATGGTGTTTTCCACTTTCTTTCCGGTATCACATGCTTTAAGTGCTAAACTACATGCAATTGTACTAACAGGCAATGCTTTTTCTCACTTTGTGTCATTACTGATGTTGCTCCCTCTTCCTATAAAACCTTTTCCCTGATTCAGCCACATGACAAGTATTGATTCACCCTATTGAAACTATTCTTGCTAGGTCACCTATGACCTCCTAATTGTTAAATCCAGTAAACATTTTTAGTCTTCTCCTAATTCTCTTCAATGGCATAATTAACACTTGGTTTCCCTGATGCCACTTTAGCTTGACTATTCCAAGTTTCACAACTTCTTTGAAGTCTACTTTGCCCACCTCTTTTCAGTGCTTCCCAAGGTTCTGTCCTTAGCCTTCTCATGCTTCACCCAGTCTCCTCAGAAATTGCCATTAATGACTATGGAGTAAAGTTCTGCCTACGTAAGGCTGACTCCCACATCTCCAACTCAGATCTGCAATTTGGAAGCATGTGTCTAATTGCTTCTTAGACCTCTATTACTGTCTGTTTCATAGAAACCTTCACTTCACTAGGTCCAAAACAGATCTTCCCTCCTATACCTAGTCTTCCTGAATCCCCTTCGAAGCCCTCGAGGAATGGCATTATAAAGTATCAGGTTGCCAAACTCAAAGTTGGCCAGCACCCTACATTCTTCACATGTGGTCAGTCATCAAGTCCTTTCCATGCTTCATCCTTTACCTTTTGACCAGGGGTTAGTCAGCTATACTTGGGGGTTATAGCTTGCTGCCTGTTTTTGTAGAGCTGGTGAACTAAGAATGGTTTTTATATTTTTAAGTAATTGAAAAAACATGATAGGTGAAAATTATGTGACAAACTTCAGTGCTCACAAGTAATGTTTTACTGAAACACAACTATGCTCCTTGTTTATGTATTGTCTGTAATGGCCTATAATATTTTACCTGGCCTATAAAATATTTACTTTTTTTTTTAATTAAAGAATCTTACTGGTCTCCACTCTATAGTAAACTGTATTTAAAAGAAAAAGTATCTTATTTTTGCAGTTTTCCACTTACCTTTAGACCTGACCAGAACTGTCTTTCTTGGAACTTTGAATGTGGTGATGTTTTGTTTTCCACAGCACTAATTTGAAATGAAAGAGAAAGAAAATGCCCATTGTTAATTTTTCAGAACCAGAGTTTTAAAGTGTTTTTTTAATCAAACTAAGCCTTGACAATGTAAATGGAGATGCTCTGATATCAAAATTATAAATGCATGCACTTTGACTTCAGCCCATTTCTGAGAATGTCTTCTATAGATATATTTGTACATGTACAGAATCTGTCTATACAGTTACTCACAACATTGTTGATAATGGTTTACGACTTACCTGCCCATCAGTTACAGTACATTATATCATGGCATATTATACAGCTTAAAAAGGAATGAGGAAACTACCTATGTGCTGACATGAAAAGATCTCAAAGATGGACTAAGTTACAGTAAGGTACCAAACAATGGTTTACAATATTCTTTCTCTGCTACAGAAAGGAGGGGAAAATAAGATTACAGCATATGTAAGTATTCTAACTGCATTAAGAAATTCCAGAAAGGTAAAAAAATTACTGTTTATTATTGCATGCATGTATGTGTGTAGAGGAAAGGGAAGAACCAGATGCAGGTCAGGATGGGGATGGAGTAAGACTTTTCATTTTAAATATAAATTTCTCAAAATACACACTCATACTTTTGAACCATGTGAATATATTACTTTTCTAAAACATTACAGAACAAACCTTAACAGGGAAGAATTTTTATACGCAGACATCTCTTCATGATTCAAATTAACCAGAGCTTAGAAGTTTGTTTCTTTTCTCTCCATAAAGCTCCTCTATCCTCTGTGTATGCAATGGACAAGCTTCAGTTCATGATCCATTATTACAACTGATGCCTTCTTAGACGATGTATGAACATGCACCAAGTATGCTGGTTTCATAATTTAAGATACATGATTCACAGATGCAGTTTCTGGCCCCTAAGTGGTGTTCCAGGCTTATTCTATGCTTTTCCTGTCCAGGCATTGTTCTGCCCCCTCTCTTCACCATGTCCTGTGAAGCAGGCATTTATTTAATGCCTCATTTTACATACAAGGAAGGACACTGATGTACAGAAAGGCCTAAGGTCAAATATCTAGTAATGGTGAATCTGGGCTCCAGAACCCATGCTATTAACCACTCTTGTATGCCACCTGTCATGTTCTTAGGACTAACATTAAAAAATACCTGTGTTAAAGTGCCAGGCTTCACACATGGCATGAAAAAAAAATTGAGAAATATTTGTGGAAGTCTTAATTTGCATCTTAATAGGTATATGTTTTGAAACTTGGTAATAGTTTCCTGTGCAATATGTTCCTAAGCAAATGTGTATTACATGATTAGCTATTTCATACAGTCTAGAAATTAACAGCTCTTACCTCTTTGGATATAGAGGAATAAAAATATCATCTTCTATTGCCTTCTTCATTCTTAAAACAATGGATGAAAGTAAATCCTATTATTTAAAAATTTACAAGCATCAGATCATTGTAAGTAGAAATCTATTTACCAAAAGAAGTCATTTTAGCAGTACAGTGCATTCTGTAGTTTAGTGATCTCAAGTAGGACTAATTTTGCCATGCCCAGGGAATATTTTACAATGTCTGGAGATATTTGTGGTTGTCAAGCCTGGGTAATGCTGCTGACATCTAGTGTGCAGAGGCCAGGGAAATCGCTAAGCATATTTAATGCACAGGACAGCCTCCTGCAACAAAGAATTGTCTGTTCCAAATGCCAGGAGTGCCAAAGTTGAAAAATCCTGATGTAGTCCAGTGTCCCATTAATAATATAAATAACCTATTTTCAACATTCATAGTGGGAGCGGTTCCAGAATAAAAATAACCAGTATAAAAACTGTCATTCCATAACACTACTGAAAGACTTAAGTGATTACAGATTACAAAGTGCTGGGCCTGCTAATTAGTACCTAAGTGATCTTTCACAAGTGACTTGGCCCTCTGGGCCCCAGCTGCTTCATCTGTAAAATGCAGTTTAAGTCAACATATTTTATGAGGTTGTGAGCATCAAATGAGATAATGTGAAAGTGTTTAGTAAGTGGTAAAGCCTTATTTACATTTAGGTTATAATTACGTAATTCTATATAGACAGCAAATACAGGATTGCATACCTCTTTCCCTGTAGCTCTTACCTGCTAATAGTGATTCTATGCTCTGTAACATAGAATAAATCTATTCCTTCTTCAAATATTAACACTATCTCCATGCACATCTTTTTAAAATTTCTATCTCTAATTTTTGCAATGGTTTTCATATTTTTCATATCTGTGTCTTTATCCTGCTGAAGGGAGATGAAGAATGCCCTTTCCCAAACGGTTGCTACATTTCAAATCCTATACTTTCCTTTTAGATTCAGGCTCAAATGTCACTTCTAACAAAAGTTCTTCCACTGCAGAGAGTGACTTCTCTCTCCTGTCTCTCTTCTGATATTTCACAGCACTTTATCTGAACTGCTCATGGAGAAGCAGTGGGGCAAGTGACATGAGCTTGGGCTATATAAACTAGGGCTATTCAAGGTTCAAATCTGGATTCTAACTCAAGGTATTACTATGAAGAAAGAGATTCAGGTTCTTCATCTGTGAAATGAAGCTTTCATCTGTATTTTTAAAAATAGGGCTGCTGTCCTCTTACAGCACTAAACTATGTTTTCTACCTTTATCTTGACCACTTCAGCATTTTATTAAAAATAAAAATAATAATAATAATAAAGGGAGAAATGTGGGATCCACATATAAATGAAGTATAAAAATCAAACGAACATTCATAAGAAAAAAAAATAGGGCTGCTGAGACTAAGTGATATAAGAAATCTTTGGGGGGAGACCCAAGAGTGTCTACTACATAGCAGGAATTAAACTAAGTGCTGTCTTCCCCACCTCTCACTTCCTATTTAAAAAATAATAGTTCATGTATATACTATTTCCTCTAAGAGTATATGCTTTCTGAAGGCAGAATCATGCCCGGACCCATCTTCTCCCTCTTACTTCTTACAGCATTCCTCCTTCATGAGAGCGTTTGCAAGTGTTAAATGTTCATGGTGTGCAGAGGCTAAACATGACATGCCTCCTTGCTTTATGTAAGTAGAAATCTATTTACCAAAAGAAGTCATTTTAGCAGTACAGTGCATTCTGTAGTTTAGTGATCTCAAGTAGGACTAATTTTGCCATGCCCAGGGAATATTTTACAATGTCTGGAGATATTTGTGGTTGTCAAGCCTGGGTAATGCTGCTGACATCTAGTGTGCAGAGGCCAGGGAAATCGCTAAGCATATTTAATGCACAGGACAGCCTCCTGCAACAAAGAATTGTCTGTTCCAAATGCCAGGAGTGCCAAAGTTGAAAAATCCTGATGTAGTCCAGTGTCCCATTAATAATATAAATAACCTATTTTCAACATTCATAGTGGGAGCGGTTCCAGAATAAAAATAACCAGTATAAAAACTGTCATTCCATAACACTACTGAAAGACTTAAGTGATTACAGATTACAAAGTGCTGGGCCTGCTAATTAGTACCTAAGTGATCTTTCACAAGTGACTTGGCCCTCTGGGCCCCAGCTGCTTCATCTGTAAAATGCAGTTTAAGTCAACATATTTTATGAGGTTGTGAGCATCAAATGAGATAATGTGAAAGTGTTTAGTAAGTGGTAAAGCCTTATTTACATTTAGGTTATAATTACGTAATTCTATATAGACAGCAAATACAGGATTGCATACCTCTTTCCCTGTAGCTCTTACCTGCTAATAGTGATTCTATGCTCTGTAACATAGAATAAATCTATTCCTTCTTCAAATATTAACACTATCTCCATGCACATCTTTTTAAAATTTCTATCTCTAATTTTTGCAATGGTTTTCATATTTTTCATATCTGTGTCTTTATCCTGCTGAAGGGAGATGAAGAATGCCCTTTCCCAAACGGTTGCTACATTTCAAATCCTATACTTTCCTTTTAGATTCAGGCTCAAATGTCACTTCTAACAAAAGTTCTTCCACTGCAGAGAGTGACTTCTCTCTCCTGTCTCTCTTCTGATATTTCACAGCACTTTATCTGAACTGCTCATGGAGAAGCAGTGGGGCAAGTGACATGAGCTTGGGCTATATAAACTAGGGCTATTCAAGGTTCAAATCTGGATTCTAACTCAAGGTATTACTATGAAGAAAGAGATTCAGGTTCTTCATCTGTGAAATGAAGCTTTCATCTGTATTTTTAAAAATAGGGCTGCTGTCCTCTTACAGCACTAAACTATGTTTTCTACCTTTATCTTGACCACTTCAGCATTTTATTAAAAATAAAAATAATAATAATAATAAAGGGAGAAATGTGGGATCCACATATAAATGAAGTATAAAAATCAAACGAACATTCATAAGAAAAAAAAATAGGGCTGCTGGGACTAAGTGATATAAGAAATCTTTGGGGGGAGACCCAAGAGTGTCTACTACATAGCAGGAATTAAACTAAGTGCTGTCTTCCCCACCTCTCACTTCCTATTTAAAAAATAATAGTTCATGTATATACTATTTCCTCTAAGAGTATATGCTTTCTGAAGGCAGAATCATGCCCGGACCCATCTTTTCCCTCTTACTTCTTACAGCTTTCCTCCTTCATGAGAGCGTTTGCAAGTGTTAAATGTTCATGGTGTGCAGAGGCTAAACATGACATGCCTCCTTGCTTTTCAGCCACTTTGGTTACCCTGTTCTGGGTGCTCTCCAGTCTACCAATCTCTCTTTAATTTCCTTAAAGCTCAACATAAAATTACTTTATTTACTTAACCATCTGAGTATACAGTATTCTCATTAACAGAATGATAAAAAACAGAGTACTATAATAAATAAGATTCAACAGACTCTCACCAAAGCCTCTAAAAAGTTCCTCATGTCCTATGTTCAGTAAAACTCATTTAAATTACAGTAAAATGAGAATCTATTCTATTGAACTTTGAATCTCTAAAGAGATTACTGTTCTTAACTTTGGCAGATTACAAATAACTACCCAATATAATCAGTTAACCTAATTTAAAAAAAATTTGTTAAGAAAAGGCTAAAATACTAGATTTTTGCCAGATGAACAAAGGTAAAGAGGTTTGTTTTTTAGAAGGAATTTGCACAAATGCAATTATGCCTGTTCATCTCTGCAGGCCCAATGTATATTAACAAACCTGAAAGATAGCTGGCTGGGTCATAAGAGCACAAATCAGATCGCTGAACACAGAAATAAGAATGAAAGAAATAATTTGGATCTTATTACATGTATGTGTAGCCTGTAATTAATAATGATTAACATCCCTGTTCAAGTGTCCAGAAACATCAAGATGTATTCTTTCATCTTAGTATAGACAGGAGAAAATGGTCAACCCTAGTTTCTACAAATCCTTAAGTTCATTTTTTCACCACCTAGTTTTCTGATTATCTCTTCTGTATCTTCTGTAAACAAAGATTTCCAATAAAATCACACTGATCTATAAATAAATCAAGAAATGTGTAACTTTAAATAAGTTATTATTACCTGTTTCCCTTTACTAACTTCATTTTCACAAGTGGAATGTTCAAGAATCATTCTGCAGTGTGTTATTAAACTTCTTGTCTGTGAGGTTGACAAGGGATCCCAAATGAATTCTACAAAGTCTGAAACAAAAATTTCAGTGGTGCACAATTTATTTACTAGATTGCTTTGCCTGTCATGCATAAACTGAGGCCTTCAGCAATGACTACTTCCCTCCTCATGTGGTTTTAAATCCATGTCAATCATTACCATTATGTATTTGCATACATCCTCAATTTCCTTGTTCTTTTTGGGCTTTGTTGAACTTGCCTGGTTCAACTACACCCTAGTTAAATCCACCTCATCACTGAAGTTTATGCCTGCAACCATGCAGCTGAAACATGGCTAGAAAAAAAAACACCCTTGAAACTCATCACCATGAAACTCCAGTGGGCCCTTAATGCTGCCTAGCAATCATATTGTTTCCCGCCTGCCTAGATGATTATTTCCTGTCTTCTCTTTCCTCCTTGCTCTTTCAGTTAATGGACTTTTCTAGAGACTGCTTATTTTTCTTTTCTCCTCCCCCTTGCTCTCACTCTGAGCTGATTACTTCCTAATTTGATGAGAAAATAGAACCAATCAGAAGAGAAGTCCCATAAGCAACTACCACAGCATCTATGCACCTACCTGCATCTGAGCCTATACACTCCAACTTGCCTCCCATTCCTATGGATAAAGCACCCCCAGTTTCTCTAAGGTCAACCCTTTATTCGTGCAAAAGACTGCAACCACTCAGGCTTACTCAGAGATTCTGCTCCCAGAATTCTGCCCTTCTACTTTGGTATCATCATCACTTCCACTTCTACTGGATCTTTCTCATCAGCATCCAAATATTCATTTCTCTTGTATTAAAAATAATCCTGTTTTTGATCCTACTTTCCCCTCCAATGCCGCCCTATTTCTTTCCTTCATTTTACAACAGAATTTTTCTTCAAAATACCATCTAAAAGTCCTATCTCCAATTTTTCTCCTCCCGTTAACTCTTGAATTCACTTCAATTAGGCCTTATCTCCACCCATTCTACCTCAACTACTACTAAGAAGTCACACAGGATCACATTACAAAATCTAATGTTTGATTCTAGTCCCTATCTAATTAATCAGCAGCAATGGCTACAGCTGATGATGCTCCCTAGAAATACTTTTCCTTTGCCTTGCTTCCCGAGTACCCACCTGCCCCTCTGGCCTCCTTTGCTGGCTCACCTTCTGTCTCTGACTTTCTAAATCGGGGTCACCTCAGCACTCAGGTCACTTACCTTCTCTTTCCTACTTATATTTACACCCTTAGTATTTAAGTCAGTTTTGTGGCTTTAAATGCTACCTAAGTGCTGATGAATTTCAAATTTGTATTTCCTGCCTGGACCGACCTCTCCTTTGGACTCATATACTCAGTGATCTAGTTGACATCTCCACTTGGATGATAGGCATCTCAAAGTCAACATGTGTCACACCAAGCTCATACACCTCCCTTCCCTAGACTTGCTCCTCTCAGTCTCTCCACTGCAGAAATGGTAACTGTCCTTCCAGCTGGTCAGCCCAAAAACCATGGGTCACTCTTGATTCCTCTTTCTTGCTACACAGCCAGTCCATTTGCAGTATCTGTTAGTGCTACCTTTGAAATATATACAGAATTCAACCATTTTTTAGCACTTGCACTTTTTAAAATTATTTTTTTATTAAGGTATCATTGATATACTCTCTTAGGAAGGTTTTACATGAAAAACACTGTTTATTACATTCACCAATATTATCAAGTACCCCCCCCACCCCATTTCAGTCACTGTCCATCAGTGTAGAAAGATACCACAGAGTCATTACTTGTCTTCTCTGTGCTACACTGTCTTTCCTGTGACCCCTCACACACCATGTGTGCCAATCATAATACCCCTCAATCCCCTTCTCCCCTACCACCCTACCCCTCCCTTCTTGGAGTCTGTGAATCTGCTGTTTTGTTCCTTCAGTTTTTCAGCACCTGCAATTTTAATACCCGAGCCCAAGCCAGCTTGATGTGCTGCCTGAATTACTGCAAAAGGTTCCTAACTGGTCTTCCTACAGTTCACTGTCAACACAGTAATAACCAGAGTGATTCTGTTAAAACATTAGGCAGATCATGTCATTTCTCTGCTCAAAAATCTCTAATTGCTTCTCACTCTCTCGCTTCCAGTAAGTCCTTATGAATGACTGTAAGGTTCTGTATGGTGCAGCACCCCCATCTTGCTAACTTCTGACTCCCTTGCTTACTCCGCTCTAGCTACACTGGCCTATGTGCTGTTTGTCAAGCAAATCAGGCTGCTGCTGACCAGCACTTGCTGTTCCTGCTGCCCTGGATGCTGTTCCCTCAGTCACATGGCCCCCTTCTTTACTTCCTTTCAGCATCTGCTCAGTGATGACTTTCTCAGGAAGGTTTTCCCTGGACAGCCTATTTTAACCTGCATTCCTCTATGATAATTTGTATCCTTTCCCTTAAGTTTTCTCCTTAGCCCTTCTAACTAACATGCTCTAGATTTTATTTATCTTGTTTCCCATGTGTCTTCTTCATGGAATGTAAGCTCCATGAGGGCAGGGATTATTATCTGGTTCACTGCTTTATATGCTGACACAACAGTGACTGGGATGGACAGACTCTTGTAAATACAAGTTAAGTATTAGGAAAACCTAAATAGGTTACAAAAAAAACAAGCCACAAACAAATAGTAATTTCTCAAGCATCTAGAAGGTTAGCCAGGCTTCTAATAACCTTAGACATGCTCAGCTAATTAATACTGAGAGCCTACTACTGAGTGCCTAGCATTAAATACTGGACATACAGCAATAAATAAGACTAGGTAGCTGCCTTTGAACAACAACTCTAATGGCAAATAGAAACACTTGTATAAGCAATTACAATTAAATGTGTAGGTGCCACTGTAAGTATGAGTTCAGAGTGCCACAGGAACCCAGACAGGCATGCCTAAACCAGTTCCTGAAAGTGATGTCTACACTGGGTCCTGCAAATGAAGAAGTTAGCCAGCAGAATGGAAGAGTAGGGCTGGGAGGTTTGGCAGATGGGTAAGCATGGAAGATGTAAAGGCCTAGGATAGCACAGCTGAAGTGGTGTAGAGGTGGGGAAGAGGGAGGGTAGAGCTTGGTAAGAGACTGGGCTGGAGAATTATTAAGCAGAGATGTGATTCTGAAAAGCTTAGAAAGTCATGCTAGAGTTTAGACTTCATTCTGGATAATTAAATAAGAATAATTAAAGAAAGTATTTTAGGTGGGGAGTGACAGAATCAGGCTCACATTTTAGATCACTTTGGTTATAGTGTAGAAAACAGATTAGAACAAGGAAAAAATAACAGACTTGGCATTTGCTATATATGGACTTGCTATATATCAGCACCTGTACTTTTAATAGCTGAGCCCAAGCCAGCCTCATGTGCTGCTTGAATTACTGCAAAAGGTTCCTAACTGGTCTGCCAATAGTTCACTGTCAACACAGTAATAACCAGAGTGATTCTGCTGAAATGTTAGGCAGATCATGTCATTCCTCTGCTCAAAATTCTCCAATGCTTCTCTCTCTCTCACTTCCAATAAATGATCAAGTCCTTACAAATGGCTGTAAGGTTCCACTGGTGCTATGGAAGGGAGGTGGGGAGTGGCTAACTTGAAGGTCCCGGTTTGAGGGTAGATGAAGGTGCCCTTTTCTAGGTAAGGGATAAGAGAAGCAGGTCTGCAGCAAAGGTGACAGGATTGTGCATATGCAGTGGGACTTGCCTGTGGGACATCCAAGTGGATCTTTTATTCAGAAGGTACTTTTATTGAGAAGATTGAGGTGATGCTCTAAGAAGACATCTGGACTTGTTTTCTAGTTCTTTTGGACTTAAAGTTAGGTGGAGCAGCACTACCAGAAGAACCTTCTGTGATAATGGAAAAGTCATATCTACACTACTATGATAGCCAGAAGCTACACATAGCTACTGAGCATTTTAAAATGCGGCCAGTGTGACTGAGGAACTGAATTTTCATTTTACTTCATTGAAATGTACTTTCAATAGCTACATGTAGTAAGTGGTTACCATACTAACCACAGTCTAGATGGCACCAAACAAGAGTGTGACATTACCCAGGAAGCTTATGAAGATTGGGAAGAGGGTCCGGAGCAGGACCTGAAAGTATACAGTATTAACTTCTCATAATGCTACTTTTTTCAGGGACTCTATTGTGAGTGAAGTATTTGGATCTTTCAGAAGAGTGCTTAAATGAGACACAGTCTATGACATCAGGAACAGAGCTGGTTGAAAGTAGTAACAATAACTTTCTAGTATACCCCATGACTGCACTGTAAGCTACACTCAGAAAAATCTTTACTTTAGTCAAGTTGGATGAGAAGCAATAAAAAGCTGGTTGATTCATCTTTTCTGCAGACTTTGCTGCCAGAATCCACTCTCAGTGACATGGTAACACAGATCCTTATCAAGTACTGTTTTGAGTGAGCGAGTTTTCAGACTAAAGCACAAGTATCAGTGCTCAAGGGCTTCTGACAGCCAGTGGCAGATGAAGGAAATTAGTAATGTTTTTTACATAAATACAGAAGAAATATAAGGAGAGAAGGGAAATAAATACATGTAGCAGGGGTGGAAGTGTGCCACTAGGAAATGACTTAGCTGTTAACAAAGCAACACAAATGTCACAAGTAGCAAGGGCCAAAGAGTATCACAGCAGTTTGGGACCAACTATAGGAGTAAACAAGTACTTTGTAACCAGCTTAAGTTATGACAACTATTGATTATTTTTATTTTGCTATCATTAATATACAATTACATGAGGAACATTGTGGTTACTAGATTCCCCCATTATCAAGTCCCCACCACATATCCCATTACAGTTACTGTCCATCAGCATAGTAAGATGCTATAGAATCACTACTTGTCTTCTCTGTGCTATGACAACTATTGATTTTAAGTGCATTTTACATTTCCTTGTGTTCAGAAATTTCTGGAAAAAAAATGTGTGACTTTAATGGAAATTAATGATCTTCCACATTTTCAAAGAACAATTTAATTTTATCCAGATTACAAAGCAGTACCTGTAAGTCGAGGAATAATTGTTTTGTTGATGATAGCAGACAAGATTTTCTTATCAGAACTATGTCTGTTTGAGTGTTCCATACTGCTGTCCATAAATTCTTCTACAGATGTGAACCATGGCATCTGTTTTAAACCTATAGAGTCAAACTTACAAATAAAATTACCATGTTATAAATAAACTCTTAAACATTACTTTAAATAATTAACTTTTTTAGTAATCACCAGTTTTTCTAAGAACCAAAGAATAATTTCATATTTCAACCCCCTGTACACACCATTATATCACTAAAGCTAGGCAGGTGTCATGACTAAGATATAAAGTCTAAGCAATATGGCTAGAAACTACATTTTATGCATTAATTTGTATGACAAATACTCCAAAAATGCCCATTGTGTGTTCAGAGCCTACCACATGGCAAGTACTGCTAGAAGCAAACTATACATTTTTATAAACAGCATTTAAAATAGCCATGTAATTCTTCATAAAAATTCATTTACCTCATGAAATTCCCTTCCGGCTCCCACATTCTCATTGGTGCAAATGTCTATTTTGCACATGGTTAGCTTTGTAGGCAAATAGCAGATGGCTAATTGTTGAACAAATGAATGAACAGATCTCTGCTAAGCAGAACAGAGCACTAATTCAGCTTGATTGGTTACAACCAGGCTGTGGTTAAACTACCTATGACTTTCTTAGGGATAAGCTTGGTTCCTACACTTTGCACCTGATGTAGAGTCTACAGGCATATATGACTAGGGCAGAGAAGATCAAAGGACGTAGCTCTGTCCTTCACTTTGTTAAATCTTACTATTCAGCTCTCATCTCTTCCTAGAACTTCATTTTCTCATTTCTGTTTGTTTACCAGGCATATCCACAGGGATGTCCCACTCTCATTTTATTATCTATAAAGTAAAACTTCTGTCAAAACTTTTTCTCTCTCTGAAAAGTCCCTATTTTTATTACTGGAACTACCACTGTTCTAGTAACGCAGAATTCAAATCTTACGGTCATCTCTGGATGTGCCATGTTGGGGTTATTCCATGTTTTCCTGATTCTCATTTAATAACACCTTTAGTAATCACCCTTTGTTTCTCTTGCCTTTGTCATCATTACTCTACGGGAGGAATTCATCACTTTGGACTTGGGCTACGGCAACAGTCTTCCTGTATGTATCCCCATATCTTATCTCCCTTCCCTCCAAGTTAGGGCTTCCTGAAATATCACTGTCATCATGTCATTCCTCCTATTATTTACCAAAACAAGTTTATATCTCTTAATTTAGGATCTGAACACCTATGCAGTCTCTAGCTCCTCAACTAGTATTTCTCCACATGCACCTTTACAAATCAGCTTTTCCTTTCTCTTTCCTGCTATCAAATCTTGTATACCCTTCAAATCCTCATTTAAATTCCTCCTCCTCAATGTAGCTTTCCTAACCAACTATTCCCAGTA